CTGATCTCACAGGTCTTGGGTTGCCCGTTCTGGGTCCATGGCTCATAACCGAGCCGGGAGGGCCTGCTTTGCTAGGCAGATATCTCCAAGCAGAGCACGTTATCTGTGCTGGTGGGTAATTGGGCAACTAATTAGGAGAGTAGAAGTGCACGTGCAATTGTTCAGAAATGCAAATTTTGATGGGAAAATGAAAGGAAAGCAAGACCCGTGGGGCATGTCCCATGTCCTGCATGGCAGCAATCCTGAAATTGCTCTTTCTCGGTGCCAGAAGAACCTGCCGGTTTCTGTGCTGGTTTGAGACCCCTTGCTGCTTCCTGCAGCATTGCCAAGCTCTGCTGCATCCTGCAGGACGTGGCAGGAGGCCTCGAATGAAGGAAAATTCTGCAAATTTTCTGCAAAGCTGCCATGTTTGAGAGCCCGCTCGCACCTGCAAACAGCAATGTCCCGGCTCCAAACTCTGCGTCTGGTTCTCTTTCCATGCCAGCATCCATCTAGAACAGCCTGACCAGTTAGATTAGCCCCTGTGCACAGGCGTGCAAGAAGATTCATCATTTAGCTGGGTAGTTAGGCCTATTAAGATCAAACTCCATTTCCAGTCTTCCCTTAATCGCCTAACTGGACTAATGCTCTTCCAACTCAGGGATGTTCCCACTAATTTTGAACACTTCGTTACGGTATTTTTAGCAACTGAGGTGGGCAGGGGAGCAACAGTCGAGGCCTTGCGGTGCTTGTGGTCGGAGCATGGTGCTCCCTACCAGCCCAGCATCAAATGCTCTATTGGCCTAAGGGTAGGACTCCTTGCAGTAGCACATTTGGGGAGCAAATCTGGTGCCTTTTCCAAGGAAAGCCTCCCAGGATAGAGCCACCTTGCAGAACACACGCTGATCTCCTTACCGAATGAAGACAAGCGATGGCAAAGCACAAATCCATCGAAAGCCTGTCCCACCAAAGCAAAAATCCCATCGCAGCCCAGACGGAAGCAATGCTAGGGCTGGCTGCAAGTCATTGCTGATGTCATCGCTGACATCATCGCTGAGGTCACTCCCATATCCATGATGGTATCATCACTGCTCCGGGTCTGCAGCTCTGGAGTAAGCTGGTGCTGGGGCATCTCCAGGGAAGCCTCTAGAGAAAACAAAAAGTATCCTGGTATTTACACGAAAGACTCCAAACTTCGTTATCCTCCTAAATGCAATTTCTCTTTTAAAAACAGCGTTTCGCACATTGCACATTTGTTTGCAGCCAGCTAACGAGGCCAGATTAGCCCTGTGTTGGTTCCAGCACGAGGCAGCAGCAGCAGGGAGCCAGTCCCGAGCACGGAGGTGCCTCCACGCGCCCCTGCAGCCTCCTCTGCAAGGCTGACGTGCAAAGCAGGCAGGTAACTCCCTTCATCCCAACCTGCTGCTCGAACGTGCACCACGGCAATGACGGAGGATCACAGCCGCAAACCAGAGGTGGAATTCTGTCTGGAGGATTTCAGAGGTGTCTAGAGGCTTTGGGTGCTGAGGCTGGCATAGGCCAAGGTCCCAACTTCCATGTGAGCTGCTGGAGCCAGGCTGTGTTTCTGGGAGTGCAAACCAGCAAGCAAAAATGGTGCAGGCAGCTCTGGAGAGCAGGTCAGTGGGCATCCAAAACCATCTCCTCTCGGAGCCTGGAGCTGTGGACACACAGCCCCACAGCCCGGGATTGTACACCAAGACACGTGGAAAAGTAAGGTTTGGCAGGGAAAGGTTTGGTATTGAATACAAAAAAAACCCTATTGGGCTATATGGCAAAATCACCATCACCCTGTCTAGTAACTTCAGAAGTAATTAGGAGCAGTTTTATAGCTACAAGATCCCACTGGGCACTAGACTAGTAAAACAGCATCCAAGTCTTCTGATGGGAACATGCAGAATCCCAGGACACGCTCATCCACCACCTCAGGGACCCGTCACCTCTCATGACCAGCCAAGCCTGGCTCACAGCTCATAGAATGTCCAAACCCCCAGAAAGGCCAGACTCCCAAAGGGCTGGGTTGAGATTTGGGAGATTAAGCTGGTCAAGGTTTTGGAGGCCTCCTTTGAGGCTCCTCTATGGAAGGATGGATGCACCTCCCTGGCCAGCAACCCATTCCTAAGTACCCAGCCCAACATGCAGCAGCAAAGGCCACCAACAAGAGCTGGCCATTTCTTCGGATCCATTCTTCTGATTTTAGTATTTTTCCACCAGCAGAAGAGACAAGAGGCTGTTCCCAGTTTGCCAAAATAAAAAGCAGTGGCAGAGGCCACTGCACCGCGAGTAACTCGCTTGCCGCGAGGCGGGCTGCAGCACCAGCCTCACGTTTGCAGGAGGAGCAATTTTACAGTGCCAGTTTAAACCATTAATAATGGTCCGCACAAATCCTTGCAAGCTTCCAATGTTATGTAAACACAAGTGAATTAAAATTATTTTTTCCATTGCTGCTTAAAGCGTGCGATGTTTTTTCTAAGCGGCCCCATGAGCAAAAGAGAGGGTGAGTCTGCAGCGACGTCCTGGAGTCCGGCCAGCTCCGAGCAAGTACTTTATATTTCACTCTCGAGATGGTCAGAGCGGAGGTTTAAGAGGCTTTGAACACAAACAGCGTTGGGTTAGTCCTGCTTCGAGTGGCAGCGAGCACGGGAGACATAAACAGATTTCATTTGAACCCGGCTTAATGTAACTGGGTTTACAGATTGGCCACAGATTTCGACATCCATCAGCAGGGCTGTACATGCAGCCCGGGCGCGGGGTCTGGGGGGGACAGGGTGTTGGTGCCACCGCTCTGCACCGTCCCCAGGCCCAGCCTCGGGCAGCGCCGGCGGGCGCGTTATCTGCGCATGGAAATAGCTGACCTACTTCACGGAGCAAACCTGGAATCAATTAATGTCTAGCCTGCATTTAGGAGAGGCAAAACACTATATAAACATTATGTATCATTTAGCTTCTGGGGAAAAGCCATTGCCTGAGAAAAGGGGCCTCTCTTTCTACAAGGTCCAGTCCACCCTTCTTCAACCATTCTGCCTTGCACCGGCCCGGAGGAGGAGCAGGGCACTAAATATATTAATTTTCCCTCATTAATACGTGCAGGCTCTGCCCTCGCTCTGTCCCCCAAAGCTGCTTCTGACACAGAGATGGGACCGAATGGGACACATGGTCTACCTGGTTCCTGGGCACCACCAGCCCTGGCCACAGCAGCCAAGGGCTGTCCCAGCAGGGCCAGAGCCCAAGGGTGTCAAAAATCTTAAATAAATAAATAAATAAAAATAAAAAAAAGCTTTATAGCAACTACAACGCAAACCCCGGAGTAATTCACCAACTCAGCAGCACCTACTGCATCCTGACCCCGGTATGTGTGACACTGTTTTGTTGAAATCTCAGTTCATGCTACTCGTAGAAGAAGATAAATTGGTTGAAACAAGTAAACTTCTTTTAACCTCACTGCTATTAACACATCCCCAAAAGTAATTTCTAGGATCTGCATTCGCTTCCCGCACCTTGGTTTTGCCAGCACAGTGAACACAGCAGTGGTCCTGTGCTCCGAATAAAATCCCGGGGTCCCTTTTCGGCATCCCCTGGGGCTGTGGATGCCTCACGCTGCTCCATGGGGCCAGTTCATGGGAAGCCTCCCGGTGCAAGTGTCGGAGCAAAGCAGGTTTTGATCTAGTCTCAGCAAAAATGGTCCCAGAGCACTGGAGCGCCACATGTGTTTCCATCATGTTGGGGAAGTTTTCGGAAGTATTCCTCATAAAACACAAAATTATTACAAACGAGAACATGAAAAACAAATTTAGGAGGAACTCATGTCACTGCTTTCTCTCTGGTCCTTTTACGAGGAGCTTCTGTGAGCAGCTGCAAACCCCTTCAAGAAGGACAAGAGGCCATGGTCCAGACCTGGCCAATACCATTCCCATCCCAAATAAACAGGAACAGTGACATGATTAGCATGGAGCTGCCTTTAGGGCATGCTAACAGTGCAAAAGGCAGCTCCAAGGCCAGTGTATAAAAAGTAGAGCTGTAAAGAAATACCAAGAGGAGCTCACTGCTGTGATAACAGCCTGGGGCATCGTCGGCAGCATCCCATCTCTCTCCGTTGGGAAAAACATCAATAATTTTGATTTGGGCGATGTTCTGTGCTGCTCCTTGTTTATTTTGCTGCTGAGAGCCGTAGCAGGATGGTATGTCCTTGAGGAGGCTTAAATAGAAGTTATTGTTATTTAGTAAAACTCAGCACCCAGAAACCCACTATGAAAACTCTCATGACTTTGCAGCACCCACAGGTCAGAAACACATCCTGGGCACCCAACACCCAGCTTGCACTTTCTTCCCTCTTGTCACCCTCCAGCTCTAATTTCCTGGGTACCACAGCAAAGGGAGGATAGAGTGACAAGTAAATCATGATGGGTACAGGTTGCTACAGCTCCGTTAATCCTCGTTGTCTGTGCAACAAGAGACAGGTCACGGTGGCCCTTTCCCTGTTAGATGATGCATGTGACAGTGACTACCGTGCCTGGGTGCCTCCTCTACCAGGGCAGGCTCTGGGGCAGCGAGACATTACAATATCTCCAATAAGGACATGATGTTATGGTCTGTGTCCTCAGCACGGTTCATTTTTCTCCAGCTCAGAACAGCCCCTTAGCTATATCGGGTCTGCTTGATCCTAGAAAGGAAGGACAGACAGTTCAGGCACCTGCAGGTCTAATCCCAGCTTTATTGCAAGGTTTCCATGAAAAGGAGCTGAGCTGTAATGCTTTGGGAGCGTGCAGTTCCTGCAGCCCGAACAACAGTGTCCTTCCTGGGCTGCCACCTACCAGGTGTGTCAGGGTCTCCATCAGCACCCGGGATAGACATGGCAAGAATGAGCCAGGAGAAAGGAAAACTAATGTTTCCCGAATTATTTTTGGTTGCAAATGCTTCTGTCCTTACTCAATAGAGCTTCGGAATAAAGATTCTGGGCAGAGTCCTGACAGTCCCCAAGGATCACGTTGCCCACGACAAAACCTTTATTTTTCAATCTTCTCAGGCAGTGGCTGAGATTTTCCTTCCATGCTTTCCAAGATCCTGCTCAATACGCCAAGCATTTCACAATGTAGCTCTTGTAATCTGCAACGAGAGGGGAGCATGGCAAAACTATCCTGCTAGCAGGATGGATCACTTTCCAATACCATTGAAATACCATGTGGAGAGCCTATTTAAGAGGCATATAGAGAAGAGCACTCCATCTAACCACCCCTCTGTAAACCCAGGCAGTTCAAAAACAGTGAAAAGATCCCATGTATTTTGTATGAAGCTGACTCCCCTTTCTGTGTTGGTTTTATTTAACATTCTTTCAAATATTTTTCTCCTAAAGATCAGATATGGTGAATGGCAGAAGTGCCATGTGGGACCGGATCAGCAATGTGCATGGCAAAACACTTCAGGAGCGCTAGTCCTGATGGGTGCATTCAGCACACAGAGGAAAAGTGATGCTAAGACTCCTGGAAGGATCCCTGATCCCATGGGGAACTGGACAGGAGGGAATTTTCAAAATAATATGTCTAGGGCAGTGGTCAGATCTGTGGTCGGGGAGGCAACAGCGCTCCATAAACCATTTCCTGGCACAAGCTGGAGATGTGGTGAGCTCTGCTGACCCAGCCTTTGGCATCTCTCTCTCTCCCCCAACGTGGTCCTCAGCATGAGAAAGCTGCAGCACTCCAGACCAGATCCAGGGTTTTTTAAACAATAGGTACCCAACGTGATCATAGGCTTGCCTCACATTAAGGTTAACCTAAGATGTGTAAAATGTGTCAGGCTGCATTCGAAGGATTTGAGGGAGGTTTTTATGGTTACACGGTCTAAGCGAATTGCCTAGGGTTAGTCACTCCCCTGAACAAGATCCAGAGAAGTCCATTGCTGAGACAAAGCACAGGTCAGCCTGGATTACTGCTGTAACAAGGCAGGCGAGCATCCTGCCTCCTCTCCTCCTGAATGTGGGTACCAACAAATCACCCCAGTTCCATAAATGCAGGAAGGGCCCTCCTCTCTCCTAGGAATGCAGCAAGGAAACGTGAGAGGCAGGTGGAGGATGGACACTGGTTCTGGGGGACACCCAGGGCTTCCCTGGGGACAAGACGTGCTGCACGAGGCCACCTCTGTCCCTTGCCCTGCACAGGGGTAGGTGGCCCTGTCCAGGAATGCTGCTCACTCCAAGCAAATTTTCCATGTGTTTTGGTTTGAGTGTGTTAGAAAACAGCCCTGTTTGTAGCGCGTATTGGATGTGGGAGCTTTCCTAAGCTCTCAGTACTGCTCATGCTGAGAACAGCAGCATTTTCCCTAAGGAGGATGGCCAAAAAACGTCCACTCGCTCCAATAACCCAGTATGTAGAAAGAGTATTCGGGGGTCTTTTGTCTTGGAGTCTCCCCCATACTCACCAGCTCCACGGTTACCAACCTCTCCACTGACTCATCCTGCAGGTCCAAGACTGTCAAATAAAGATCAATAAACCGGAGGCTGACGCAAAAATCCTCTACGATGATGGAATCCGTGTGGTGCAATGTCTTCTTGAAGTTATCCACCATCTCACTGAAGGCTCTATATTGAATGGATTTCTGGTGAGAAAAAAAAAACAAGCTCAGGAACAGAACACTGTTAGCAATGAGAAGGGGTCGCACAGAGATAGTTGTTCTCCAGACACTTGCGAGCTCCTGCTTGCACTAAGCAGGGTGAAACGAGAGATGGGCTGGAAATGGGGCAATCTGTAATTCCTGTCCCCATGGGGCTTTAGGAGAACGGGGCAGGTGTTGCACGTCCTGGTACCAGCAATCTGTAATTGCCTGTTGAGAAGGGACCCAAGGAGATGGGTCCTGTCATTGTTGAGCTATTGCCACCCCTGGTGCTAGGAGCAAGACTTAAATTGCTGCTCAAAACCAGTCACTCGACACAGTATTTGGACCAGGGATTTTCTGGCCCAAATGCAAGAGCACTCTCAGCCGAGCCATTCTGAAATGATTAAATTACATTTTCTAGCAAGAATGAGCAGAAGAGTTGGGGGAAACAGGCAGTCACGTTGCTCTAATCATTTACATTTCAGTGACAGCTTTACTACATTTACTTCAAGACTGCTTTGCAAAAGCCCTTTATCAAGCAAGGCAAAGCACTCCTGCAGAACCCAGGACATGAATTTCAAGTCCGTAGTAACATTTTGGAAACTTTGCATCAACAGACTGCGAGAGAGCAGGCAGCATCGCGACCTCCCTCGAGTGCTCGCTGAAAGGGAGTCCAAGTCATTTCTGGACGGGATTCTTGGCTTGACATGACCTGAAAAGTTTTCTTCTTAATTTCTCTTTGAAGTTAAACAAATTCAGACAGAAACACACTGAAACCTTTTCTAATATCTTTACCATTAAGTTCCATTGCAATGCTTTTAAGAGCTGATCCTACCAAAATTCTACCATGTGATGATCCTACCAAAAATGCACAGAGAATGTACAGCCTAAATTGTCATAAGAAAGGGGGGGAGTAAAAAAAAGTAAATTATTCCTCCATTGAAAATGGCTCATATTTTTCTTGTCATAGTGAAGAATACCTAATACCTGCAGTTCTTGCTATGCACCCAAGGCCAAACACTGCCTAGCTGGGTCACTCACCCGCTGATGTGTGATCTTGCTCATTTCCTCCTGCTGCTTTTTCAGGAGTACTTGTTTCTTGGCCCAAATTGCAGCCTTCCTCGTTGCTTTGCACTCCCGTTCGTACTTCTGGTTTGAGTCCTGCCAATGCCAAACGGGCAGCATGAGAGCGAGTCCCAGAGCACAGTCAGAGCGGATGGTTCAAGGGATCAGTCAAGGAGACTCGTGCTTCAAAACCCCCGGCCCAGCTCCAGCCCCACGAAGGAGCCAAAATTCTGTTAATTTAGATCAGCCGGGGCTGACACCCTGCAGCTGTCTGAATGCAGGATGCTCTTGCCATGGGCTTCACCTTATTCCATGGGCAGATTCATCCCTGCAGTCCAGCCCCTGTCTCCAAGCACTGACTTGTATCAGACGAGTTAGAGGCAGTTACAAGAACCATGAAATCAGCCAGGGGCTGACGAGACACAGGGTCTGTGTCTCTGCCCTTGGTGCAAAGTGCACTGGCTGCCCTGGTGCAAAGGGCTGGTGGTACTGGAGAAGTGGGAGATTTTAGCAACTGTGGAAAAACAAGAGTCAAAGTAGAGATGTAAAGATGACCCAAACCAGGCAGAGTGGGAAAGACATGCTTATTCTGCTCAGGACAAAGGACTTCTGAATCCAAAATGTTTCTAGTTGCACCAGGAGACCATTTTTACAAGCAGGCAAATGTCAGTTTTCCAAGATAGGCCTGTTGGCTAGTGACATGCGTCCCCAAACACAGACGTGCAATGCAAGGAACCACTACTACCTGCATTTTGATAATCACAACTCCAATGAACATGTGGAAGAACACAAAGAACCCCAGCAAGATGAACACAATCATGAACACGTGGCTGTTTGTAAACCCATGATTCTCCAGCTCTTCCTGTATGTCTGTCCAGCCATCAACCTGCAAATGCATTTAACCAGAACAGAGAGTTAGTTCCAAACCACAGCATAATTCACAAGCCATATGAGATCTTGCTCCTCTCTATTTTTTCTCTCTCCTTTTTATTTTTTATTTTTTAATTGAACACAGTTTCTTCTCTTCCTTAGAGTTCCAGGTTTAAGACAGCTAGCAAAGGTCTCATTGCCGGCAGCTTGAGAGATTTACCCTCCTGAATTTTCAATACACGGTAGGAAATTTATCTACCAAATCACATTTTTCAGAGAGATCTGCAATATGATCTCACTATAGAGCCATTCACGCTCACCCCAGCACAGTTGCAAGTTAATTAATGGGCTTCTTCAGCAGCACTCCAAAATTCAGAGTTTGTTTTTTTGGCTGACAGGAACTCGAAAGTGCTGCTGTACTTACAGTGAATAAACTGAAGAGTGTGAAGAAGGCAGCCTCCATGTTGCCCCAGTTTTCCGTGTCTCCATTTTCAGGATGTCCATATAAACCATGCCCCAGAATGGCAAATATAAACATCAGTAGGAACAGCAAGATGAGGACATACGTCACTGTCTTCACCATCTGGCCAAGAGCCTTCATGACAATCTGCAGAAGGGAAAAGAAAGAGAGTGCTTCTTAGCAGAAGAAAAGGCAGCCCCAGGTAAAGGAAATGCCTGTTGGGCCAGGATGAAGGCAGGGAAGTGGCACAGCAATTCGGTAGGTGACAAGCTCCTGAGAGCAGTCCTGAACCAGCTCCTTCCCATGCACCTGCAGTGCAGTACCAGAAATCGAGGACAGTCGTGGGGCAGCCACCGCTGCGCACTCAAGTGCTACAAAATCCAGAGACTCTGCTCATGTTCAAGCCTCTTGGACTGGGAAATGTCCTTGGCAGGGCTCTGCAGTGAGCAAGTGCTGCTCAGAGGCAAGAGCAGGGGCTGTGCAGTGCCAGAGCGATGACTCTCAACACACATGAGCCTCTCACTCCTTCCTGACACAGGGTTTCACCGTGACAGGTTGCTAATGGAGTAACACATTCATGTTCATAAAGGACACGGCTCTTCCTATCCCCTGCAATCCACCAAACCCAAACCAGCAGTGCTATTAACCCTCCTGCCTCAGCATCTACCCCGAGCTGCTGCCCTCAACCCCTGCTGTGCAGCAAGGGCCTGGGTATGGAGAACTTCCCCCTCGTCCCTCCGGGGGCTGCTCTCCTAGAGAAAGCTCTGTGCAAAGCTTGGGTTCACCAAGAAGGAGCAGGGTATGGCCCCTGAGACAGCCTGATTTCTTATAAAGACCTACATGTGACATCGATATATACAAAAGACACTCTTGGGAGTTGATGGGAATGCCGGCTGGGGGATTGAGCTTAGGTCGGATTCATCGGCAATGGCTTTTAGCCAAATGCAAACTTTCCTGTTAACTGCAAATTACAGAAGACGACATGTAGCCTCTTGCATCCATGTTATATTCCTCTAGAGACCAGCAGCCACATGGGCTGGCTGCTTTCCCCTCATTGCAACACGCCTGCTAACACCAGAGCATTTCTCACACAGTGCACTAGCTCAGAGACCATCCATTTATCATTTCCTCTTTGGACAATAGCTCTGTCAACAGCATCTCAAGTTAAAGCTCTGAAATCTATCCAGTTGATCTGCTTGGATGGTACTTCCTGGTGCAGACATTTGTGCAAAGCTAGCATAAGACGTTCTTTCCAGTCCCCCCTGGCTGCCAAAAAGTTGATCCTGTTATGATGGATTAAGGACTCCCGCAGCACTTGCCTGAATAGACTTTTGGCTTTTGCAAGGCTGGTGTGCTCTAGAAAACAAACACACAACACTGCGTCTGGCCAAACGTCCCAGGTCCTTCTTTTGGCCACTAGTCACTCCTCAACCTTGATGGGCTGAATTTCTTGGATCTACCTACCAAGGCAACAAAGACTTATGCAAAGGCGAGTGCCGGCTTTGCCTTTTTTTTTTCCCTCTAAAATTTCCAGCTCTGGCAGCTTTGCTAAGAGTGACCACAGAGGAAAGCGATAATGTGGCCTCATGGCCGTGTCACCCAGCCGTGCTCAGAGACGGGCGGCAAGAGCGGGGGTTGCCAGCTCTGTGCCTGCACCACAGAGACCCAGCAGTGATGCTGTAGGTACCAGCAGTGCAGTCACCTGGACACATCCAAAACTCAGGAGGAGTCAGGTCAGAACACGTCGTCTGGACCACAGGAAGCTGCAGAGCATCCCCAGTTCATAGCTTATATCCACAGGCAGCATCAGGATTGCCTGAGCCTGCTTTCCTCTCCAGGACAGGCCAAGGGAATGGCCCAAGCCAGACTGTGCAACGCCTCTGAGCATCTCCCCAGATGGGGAGCATTCCCAAATGGGGAGCATTCCCAAATGGATGCTCACTCCCTGCCAGGAGGTTTCCGATCACTCCTTGCCCAAAACCCATTCAACCCAGCCATCCTACGGCATTTTTGCCACGTTATGTCACGGCATTCGGCATAAAGAAAAACAACCTCCGCTGGCCCAGCGTAGCAGGAGGGCTGTAAAAAGACTCGGGGCAACTGCAGGCTGGCAAGTGCCTCCTGTGCAGGAGCATCGAGGCGTCCCAGCGGCCAGGGCAGCTCCTGCCTCCCCGCGCGCCCTCAGGAACTGCTGCAGATTCCTCCAAGCTCATATTAAGAAGGAGCTTTGTGGTTCACAGCCTGCACAGGTAGTAAACTACATTGAAATTAATCCTAAATATATATTTTTTAAAAAAGCAGAAAAGTCCTTTTTTTTTTTTTTCCCTTGAAGAACAGCCTGGCATTTTGAAAGTTTGTTTTCAATTTGAAATAAAGATGAACGGGGCCTACACTGGAACGGGGATTGCAGCTAACAGAACGTCTCTGTATGGAATACAACAAGGAAATTATTTCCTCAAGGTGGAAATTTATTGCTCCAAGGTGGAAGGCAGAGTGTTTTAAAGAGGTTTTTAATTAATAAAGGGAAACGTGCCAAGAATGTGTTGCATGTTTGAGCTCTGTGCATTAAATACTGCTAACCTGTTGAGGGCCAATTTAGACTTCAATTAATAAATTACAATGCACACACAGGTATAAGTAACCTCCCACACCCTCAGCAAAACACATTTAGGCAGACCTATTGCATTTTTAAATGATTTTTAAGCAAAGAGGTGTTGCCTGTTGGGATGTCAAACAGCTTGGGGCGCTCGTCTCCTCAGATCAGGATGCAAAGGCAGGAATCACATGGCCCTGGAAAAGGGGAGGCAGGAGTAAGGCAGGACTTTGTGTGATATTTATAACAGCTCTGGCACAGGAAGGGACTGCTAGAGCCTAAAGAATTTTCCTTCTTTGGATAGTTTTTCCCAATAATGCCATCCAGGCACTCTCTCCCAAAGGCAGGTACAGTGTCCCAGTGGGCACAGTTCCTTACTGTCAAGTCTCACTGTCTTCCACCAAAGCCTATGTTTGCACGGGCCAGATTTCCAACAGCATTTAGGCTCTTAAAGCCACAAACTTGTGCCTACTGGGATTTTTCAAAGCACCTTTGCGTTTAAACATCCCATGGGAGTAAGGTGCCAAGTCTTATCCTCCAGTTTTCCTTACTCTTCGTCCCCAAACACGGCATCTCGGGCGGTGAGTCCCACAAGTTGAAGCGTGTGTAGCATGAGCTCCAAGCAAACACAAACTCTTCATTGGCATTAAACATCTGCCCACTTCACCATGCGTCAATTAGCTCTTTTTTAATCATCCAGACTAAACACGAGCATCCGATTTGCCTTTCCCAAATCATTCGTTATTTCATAGGCTATGCTGTCCCTCCTCCCAGCAACACAGAATAATTAACATATAAAAGTCTGGCGATAAGTGAAGTTTACGATCCAAACTAGAGCAACGAAGGCTCAGAAGTGAACGTTATAAGAGCCCTGTGCCCATAAACATCCCACTTCTGGTGGGCTCCCCAGCCAATTAATCACACGCAGAAATGCTGGCCGAGCATTCATTGCCCACATAAGCTCCTTGCTGAAAAACAAACCTCCAGCGCTGCCAGGAGAGAGCTAAGCAGGAGATGGAGGAGGAAAACACGCACAACCCAGGAGCAGCACGTGACCCCTATTTTACAGGGATTTTTTTGTGTCTACTCTGCTGTAGTAAAAATAATATCCCTGCACTCCACTGGGGAGGGAGCAGAAATGGGAAAGAAACCGTGACCAAGTCAGGGGTGTCTTAAAGAAATCAGGGACTATTAGACTTCTCCTTCCCTCCCAGGCTACCGTGATCAAAAGCCCCGTGAGAGGCCAGGCAGCCCCCTGGACACCCAGCGCTCGCTTAAAAAGACCAGGAAAGAGAGTCCGAGTCCAAAGGGACGGAAGAGCCGCCGTCACCGAGCGGAGGGCCGAGCTTTACCCGCATCCCGCTGCTGTACTTGATGAGCTTGAGGATGCGCAGGGCCTGGAGGCCTTTGGCCACCTCCCAGGAGTGGGCCGGAGGCGAGCTGAAAGCGGGCAGGATGAAGGCCAGGAGCAGGATGACGGCGTCCAGGACATTGTAGCCGTCCTTCCAGTAGCCGATGGGGTCCACGTAGAGCTTGAGTAGAAACTCGCTGGTGTAGATGGAGAGGATGAGCGAGTCCGTGAGCTGTGTGGGGAGATGGGGACGTAAGCACCTTGCTGACCTAAGGGATGGCACCTCGGCTGCTGGCACCATGCCTGTGGGGACCTGGACCCGGCCACAGGGACTGTCACCAGGACTGGGCCTGAGAGACACTGCAGTGCAGAGCAGAACTGTTGTCCATTGGTGCTGCTGGCCCAGAGGCCACCATGGAACTCAAGGAAAAAATTCTTAACAGTGAGGGTGACAGCACTGGAACAGGCTGCCCAGAGAGGTTGTGGAGTCTCCTTCTCTGGAGATCTTCAAAACCCGCTTGGACGCAGTCCTGTGCCACGTGCTCTAGGTGGCCCTGTGTGTGCAGGGGGTTGGACTGGATGACATCTAGAGGTCCTTTCCTCTATGATTCTATGTCCTCCCTCTACAGGGGGGCTCCTGGTCCCTGCTCCCGCTGTTCTTGCAGCAAATGTGGGCCCCAAAGCAGCATTAGCCTCAAAATGGACCTCTGAAGGGCCACGAAAACCAAGAAAACAGCAGAACCAAGGCCCTGTTCCACCAAACAGCATCCCAACACGGCTGCGGAGGGGCACAAGGAGGGCATGGGGAGGAGGAGCGGAGCAGATGCCATCCCCATTGCAAACACCCACCGGGTCCCCTCAGCAAGGGACAAATGGGAAGCAGAGAGGCCCTGGAAAGCCGCAGTTCAGCGCTGATCAGTCATGAGGCCACACGAGGGTCCCAGCTGCATCCCAGATCAGGGACCCTCCGTCCTGGCACCGCCTGCTTCTCCTGCACAATCCTGCTTCTGGAGGCAGCGCTTTCTGAAACCTCTGAAGTTCCCCCAGAGTGACTTGACATTAGCCAGGTCTCTCTATATATTACTGGGGTATATAATTAAGGCTCAGAGGTTTGCGTACAGTAGCTGAGTTGTGTAACACAAGGAAATCAAGGAGGGCTACAAGAGGGGGTTTTCAATGTGAAAATTGACTAATAAAAGCGTGCTTAAGCCAGCCGCCTTGCAACAACGGAGGGGAAAAGAGCAGCCATGAAAAGGACGTAACCGTTGCCTTCTAAGAACGATAACCACCATGGGAAGGGGCTTAAAGCTCAGCCCTGAAATGTGTTTCCCGGTCTTACCGCGAAGAAGGTGCTGGAGCTGAGCCGGAGGCGGTAGTCGGTCTCCACGGCCAGGAAGACGGCGTTGAGCGACACGATACAGATCATGAGGAAGGCGAAGAAGGGGCTGCCCAGCAGCCGGCGCAGGTAGGCGCAGAACTTGGTGTCCTTCCTCCTGCCGGGAAGAGCTCGGGATACCCAAGTGGCCACAGGCAAGGAGGACTCAAGGGATAACGTGTCCCCTTGCCCATGGCTCGAGGGACAACGTGCCCCCTCGCCCGTGGCTCTCTGCATGCCAAGTTCAAGCCCAGTTTTCCAGAGGGTCCCAGCCATCTCAAGCAGCGGAAAGGCTGAGAAGTTTGGCTCAGCTGGCGGATTGGGACAGATGAGCAGGAATTTAGGGGTCTTGTTGGACATCCCTTATCACTGCTGGGTTCTGCAGGTACAGGACTGGGTGGCTGTGAGACTGAATCCTGATTAAACACAGCGTGGAGACCTTGCAACATGTTGTGTATGGACACCAGCACTCGGAGCTTGCTGTCCTTTTTTTTAAAAAAAAATCTGCGATTTCATCTCATCCAGGAAACAGTATGGCTCCCTAATGATATTTAAACTTAATATCACGTGGAAAGCACACAAAATATCACCCTGAGTACGTTTGCTCCCACGCAGAGCCAGGCCTGACCACTCGCTCTTGCAGGCTGTAGACTCCTATGGCCAAGCCCAGCCCTGCTGAGACCCTTGTGAATCCTCCGCTCGCCAGCTCCACGTCAGAGCCCTTCACCTCACGTCCAGGGGTACAAACCCACCCACTGCAGTCGTCTCTCACTAGGTTTGCTTTCAGGAGGTGGAATAGCCACACAATTCTGTAGCCAGCAGGGACAGGCATGTCCCAAAGGGAAGGACTGCTAGGATAAGTCAAGCTGCTCCTGGTCGGGAAAAATGCACAGAAAACATAGACATATTCTGTTCTCAGAGGACATAAATGAGGGACTAGGACATTCTTGTTCCCTTGTTTTTGCTACCAAAAGTTATGGCCTAATAAATACCGAATCTGAGGAGGTCAGTTAATGGCAGTGAGGAAAACTGTCAATACTTGAGACACACTTAAGAACTGTTAAATATTTGTAAAATAATATTTGAAGTGTAATCAAAGCTAACACAAAATTCAACCATTTGCTTTCATTCAACATAATTACATATCGACCCAGTCGATCCCATGGTGGGTCCCACAGCACAGGAATTACCCAGCAGGTGAATCCCATCATCCACCCCAATCCCATCCCCATTAACCCAAGCGCCGCGTTAGGACGACTTTGCTCCACGAGTACCTGAAGTGAGAGAACACCGAGTACCGGGTGTCCACCTCGGAAAAGGAGGTCAGGGACGTCAGGAGGAGGTCGGACATGACGCGCTTCTTGTGCAAGGGCTCCATGGCCGGAGGCGCCGCGCGACAGCGGCCGCTCCACGCGGGACACGCTGGAACCCGTCGCGCAGCGTCGCTGTTTGTGAGGTCACTTCCAGCCGGAGGAATCCGTGTTCCAGGCCAACTCCTGGAGAAATAAAATCCCTAAAATCGCTAGGAAAATAACAAGCAGGTGCTGCTTATTCCCCAACTCACTGCTTTTGCAAGCAGAAAGATAAAGAGGAGGTAACCGCAGGGTTTCGCTGCTCCACAATCCTCTGCCAAGGTGGCATGGGCAGGGTGTCCTGCCCCTCTTCCCAGGGGATTGCTGCATCCCTGCTCCACATGGTGGGACCGGGAGGGAAGCGCTCCAGGTGCCTGTCCCCACAGAGGCAGCCCTTTGGCTTTGGCAGTGCAAAATAACGCGAGCCGCTTCACTCTGTTTTCATGTATTATTTTCATCCTGGCAATATTGTGCGTGTGTGTATATATATATATGTATAAAATTACAAGCACTCCTACAAAGAGGCAAAATTACATTCATTTTCAGCATTTACAGCCTGCGAGGTGCCAAAGTAGCAGGCGACAAGCATTTTTTTATTGCTGGACACTGCCCAGCTCTTCCATACAAACCGCACGGACAGTTTCTTGCGGTGAGACTTTCATCACTCCCCGAGGAAACCAGGAAAAAACTTTGTCCCTGGTGTCCAGTGGGCCTCAGCTGCGCATTCCGAGGGGCTCCCTTTGGAAGGGCATCATGGGGCTGTGCCGTTCAGCATCCTGCATCCGTGCTGTGCATAGGGTGAATCCTCCTCTGCGATGCCAGGGAGAAAACTCACAATCACATCTGCTGCTTTTCGCCTTGTTTCCTTAGGAAGCGCAGCCGGAGCGTTAACGATTGCTAATTCCTGTCGCTCTGGCAGCCTCCTGGGCGCGCTGCTCTGGATGCTCCATGAGGATGTCATTCCAGGACACACATGTTCGGCTGATCCCAAGGCGCAGCCACAAATATTTGTCTTCTGGAGCAAACAGAAGTGACAAACTGACAGCAGCTTGTGCAGGGGAATTCCCTAGCCGAGTTAAGTGGCAATTCCCTTGCTGGCCGGAGGCTCAAGGCTGGCAGGGCTGCCCATGCCAGTCAGAAGCTGCAGAAAGCCTGAAGCCTTCAAAATAGCATTTTGCATGATTGAGAAGCAAGGAAAAGGCAGAGCAGGGCTGAGGGAACAGAGAAGCTGCATTGAAGCAAGGATCTGCACAAACCCTAAGTTATTTTATCCTTCAGCTGCATTGAAGCAAGGATCTGCACAATTTAAGTTATTTTATCCTTTAAAGCCTGGGGCTGCTGCAAGCATCCAAGAGTCGGGAAAGACTCAGGACTTTGATGGTTCAACCTGTTGTTCCGGTCCCACCTTTCCCTATCACCACGTGTGCCCACAGGGAGCAAAACCAGCAGAAAAGTCAAGTCCAACTCGCCCGGTGCTCTTGCTTTGCTCTGCTGGACACCCAGGCTATCAGAGCAGGCACGCTCACGGCCAGCCCAGGCTCATCCGGATGCTGCAATCCCTCCGGGCTCATCCGGAGCAGAGGACGGATAGAGCGTCTAAAGAGAGCAGAAGAGTCACATCACAGACTAGGTTGGCGGGGACACATCCAGTTAAAATCAACCTAGATGCAGGAGGAAACAACCTTCCTCCCTTTGAGGAGCAAGGTCGTTTCCTGACTGATTACCCATATACTTAAAGCCACAATCAGCCTTCAAGAAAAAATTAAAAACAAAAAGCTCCCTTACTCTTCTCTGCAGAGAGCAGCTAGTTTGAGATGCTCCAAGAGCTAAAGTAGCTGGTGGTGATTTTTTTTTTCTTATCAGAGTGTTTAAATAAATACCAATATTCCAAACCAAAGACCTCCCAGGAACTAAGTATTATTTATCTTAAATTTATCTTAAAACTAAACATCTTTGTCACATATACATAATAACAAAGAAACAAATAGCAAATGAGGAACTTGATTTTATTGTTTTTTTTTTCCAAAGCGTTTGCATTATATACCGATTTCTAACAACAGTTTTCACAGTTCACTAGAGACATTGTCACAACAAGCTTTGCTCATGTGCCCACAGGTAACAGAAGGTACTGCTGTCTCGCTGGGTGTTTTGGTTTCATTTATTCCTTGCAACATTGACCATTTTCAAGCCACATCAGGGAAATCCACTGCTTCAGTGGGAAAAGGCACTTTTAAGGGAAGAACATTTGAACAGAGAGTCTGAATTGGGTCTCTTTTACATTTTTACGTGGTAACTTAAGTGTAGCTACTGGCAACAAACTCCAACATCTCACATATTCATTCCTGTTACCAATTAGCGCATGACAGGACACTTGCTAAGGATTAACAAAAAAATTGCCTTTCTTATGTTATCAACGTGAGTATCTGCTTGTCAGCTATTGGCATTTTGCATCCAAAATATGTGAGAGAGACCACACACCCGACACATCCACCCCGCTCGGATCTTGGCAACCACTCACACGTCAGCAGGTATCTCCGTGCTCGGCAGTTCATAACGCGCCTTGGGTGTCATTCCCGCTACGGATTTAGGCCTTTCCGGAGTGTCAATCTTCCGGGAACGCCGCAGCGGCAACGAGGCAGGACCGGGCACGCGGGGACAGCAAAGGGCTGGCACAGAGGGGCCCACTGCTGCAGTCTAGTGCTTTTAACATTAGAAGAATAGCTCTAGGAAATGGATCGTTCAGAATGATTGTTTGGCTGTTTTATCTTCTGCATCCTCACCTGCAGCCAGCAATGACCAGGGATAAGCCCAGGCTTATTTTTAGAGGGGGGTCTCTCACACTGAGCTCTTAAAGGAAGACAAGGCTAAACCAGTCTGTTTTGTTTTGTTTTTTGATTTTGGTTTCCTAATTAAGTACCTCTGAGGGATTTGACCTAAATCAGTGTTGCAAGGAATGAGGGCTACTACTCAAACACAAACCATCGTTAGCGACCCCATTAAAATATCTCACATCTTCGTTACACCGAAGCAGCAGCTTTGTCGATAAACTGGGCCAGCTTCACATCTCTTCTGGTCAGTCCACCACAGTCGTGGGAAATAAGAGTTATCTGAACCTGTAAAAAAGGAATGGGCATGGATTAGAAGAGCCCTCCTGGTCTTGGTTGCATAGACTGATTGAGGGTTAATCCACACACTGGGTGCTCTGCAGTGAGCTGGTTTAACCAAGAAATAAAAGCTCTCCGCAAATAGGGAATTGAAGTCTTGCTGCTTATGTATTAGGAAATATTGTTGGTGAGTGGGCTTAACAGAACCTGAAGCAAAGTTCCCTGCAGAATGAAGCAGACTTGTCCTCTTGGATTTCATCCAGAAAGAAGTGTCCGATTAAACAACCCATTTTAACTCCATGTATCAGCGTCACCAAGAATTTGGTGATGTGGCCCCTGCGTCGGTCTGTTTAGACTGACACACACAACGAGCTGGGCACCTTCTCAGACATTTTACAGAGATTTGGGGAAAAGGAACGAGAGAAAAGGGAAGCCAAGAAAATCATCGAGAGTAGGTGCTCAGGACTCTGCCCAGTTGCCATTTAACTACCCTTTAAACCGGGTGACTGCAGGGGTTGCTGTATATTTTGCCAAGTTCCAAAACCAACAGCTCAGCACAATGAAATGTATTAGAAAATAAAAGTAAAGGGAGAGCAACAACCCCCTGTACACACTCGCCTTTCGTTGCATCACCTTTCATTGCAGTATACTTTGTACCCTTGCAAATATGAGACCACCATCAGTTAAGGAATAGTATAAACAAATTTTACAAGCTGCTATGTTGAGCCACAGTGGCCCACATTTGTCTAAAATAATAACAACAACAACCACAATAATAAAAAAAAATCAAGTCTAAATTTAGAATTTCAGGCTCCCATTTAGGGACTGATCTCCTGCTCCTCTGGCTCCTAACTTGTTGCTCAGAGAGGAATTGAAAGTTGCTGAGTGTTCACTAGCTTCGAAACAGTCATTTATTCAGGTTAAATAAGGAAGGGCTTAAAGGGCTCTATTTAATTCCTAAATCCTGGCCAGAAACGTTAAGTGTCAGTCCAAATCACGCAGCTGGTAGAAAATAATTGCAGAGAAGGACTCGGTTCCTTGTGCCATCTCACCACTGCAAACCTTGGAGAATATGTGTATTTTACTCATTGGAAGATCCCAGAGCTGGAGCACTCCAGAAGAACGTCCAACAAAGTGGTGAGAACATTCTCACACACAGAAAGGAAAGAGCTGGAGAAAAATATGTCGGAAAAGAAGAAAACCAAGACACCAACTCATTCCATCCATGAGGAGAATGGGGCTATCTCTGCAAAGATCATTTTTAAGCAACACGTCCTATTTCTGCCACTGTATGTCAGCTAAAAAGACAAAGGTGTAGAGCGTGTGCCACTATGACAGGGTCTTGGGCTACTTAATTCACAGTGACTGTAACCAAAGGTGGCGGATGTGTTACCTTGCTGTAGACATTAAACCATTCTGGGTGGTGATTCATCTTCTCTGCTTGCAGAGCGACTCGTGTCATAAATCCGAAAGCCTAGGAGAGAAGGAGCAAAGACAGAAACAGTCACCTATCCACCAGGACAACTGCCCCATGTTACCCTGGCACCGAATCTGCCCAATTGCACCATCTAAAATCTGGATAGTCCCAGAGATGCTCCAGAACACAGGGCCTCATTTTTGCTTGCACGAAGGAGCGTTTCATCTCATGCCACCAAAGCATTTCCTGATGCAGAAATTATCCCCTTCACGTGCTGGTAAATCATTCTGCTAAATGTTCCTTACTCGGGGATTCAAAGCCACTGCATGGGAGCAACGATTTTACCTTTGACACCACAAGGTATTTTTGCCAAGCTGCCATTTCTAGTTAAGCATCATGGCCCAGCAGTCTTATACTGGACAGACACCAGAAACATCCTTTCATGTAATTACTTGGCTGTTTATTTTCCGGGGGGCAAGAAAGGCAGCAGGTGGGTTTGGCACTCTGCTTCATGACCTCATATTTTACCTGAATCAGTTAAAATAGATTTCCCAGTTCTCTGCCCCTATATTCTGCACCACACATTTCTCCAGAAGGTAGCTTTTATCACAGCCTCAAGAAGAAAATAATAGGAGACTCTTGCCAAAATACTTAGAGTAAATGACTACGCTACAAAGAAAACGAGGATGGCCATGCAAATCAGGAGTGCAATTATATTATGGGGCCCAAAGGGTCTCAGTGCATGAGCAGAAAGCCTTAAAGTCAACGGGCTTTGCTCATGTTGTGCTTCATCCATAGGGCACAGGACCTAAATTAACATGCAGAACAAAAGTCACATCCACCTCTATGGTCTGGTTCATATTACAATACAACAGTCTCATCAAAAACCTACCTGATATAGGTAGTTTTGCAGTGCTAATTTACTGGAGAGAACATAGAGAGTCCACATTCCACCAAGCGATGGCCATTTCAAACAAACATGTGGTCAATGAATAACATATAATGGTTGATAATAGTTTCAGTCTTTTTGCCTCTCACAAATTGCAAAAAGCTTTAAGAAAAAAAGAATCCAGAGCCTGGATGAAGTATGACTTTGTTAGTCGCTTTGCCAGTCAAATGAATGCAAACGTTATAATCAGAGAAAATCATTCCAATGAGGTTTGTCATTTAGAAATCACCAAACTGTCAGCAATTAAAAAGCTTTCTTCTTTGACCCAAGAGCATTCCAAAATTTGGGAAACCTAACTTCCCTTGAAGCTCTCATTTGGTTTAATTTTACTTGGAGTGAACAATTATGCTTAAGAAATTTCAAATGTTTCAGCAACAAGCTTTGAAGCCGAAAGCTTCAAGTTGTGCGCTAGACGTTAGTGAGAAGTTGGAACACATATGCAAGAATTGCTCTGAAACTTATTTTATTTAAACTTTGTTAGAGTTGGCTTAATTGGAGTGCTATTTCCCACATTACAGCCTATACGCAGAATTGTCCCAAAGGTTTGAAATAGTCAGCAACAGATCTGCAGTTAGACCGCCTTTGTGCAAGAAAACAAGGGAAAAAATAGATCAAATTTCTGAAAAACTCTCTCCTGACAAGGGATTGGTTTCGGGGCAGAGGATCCACCCAAGGACAGGTCATCCTGCTTGTTCCTAGGACCCTAAGGCTGGAGATGCTGGAGTCTCCACAGACAGTTTGTTTATAGGAAGGATGAAAAAAGGCACATATGTGGTGCATACATATCGCCCTGCTTTACTCAAGGCAATTCTTTGGCATTGCAAATAAGTCAGAGCAACTTGCTTCTTGTATTCGAGTTTATTTTATTTATACACAAGAAGAAAAAAATCTTCCTCTACGAAAATGAGCTACAGCTCTGCGGAGCAAATTTCACCCCTGCAATCTCCATTAAGGTCCTAAACACTTCCTTTGCCAATTAAATTAATTAGAACGCTATTGTTTACGAATCACCTTTATATTTGTAGAGCCGTAACCTTCCTTTTAGAAAATACGATTGGCACTGGAAGAAAAAGATATTTAGGTTTGATTAGCTATGAAAACACTATTATATAAAATCAGTTTGGACATTTCTTCACGTCTTGAAACTCGATCGGTAATTTGGTCTAATTGGTGATCAAGGAAACTATCTTGTGATCAATTAAAGTAATTACCACATTCCGGCAACAAAACCAACCCTAATTTGAGAAGGAGTCTGCACTTCTTCAACTTTAATTAAAAATAATGAAAATTATTAAACAGTCTGCAGTGCAAGATCATTGTCAAGACTGCAGCAGTGGGTAGAGTTTATCAGAGCATCATACATTTCTTGACAGAAGGAGGACAAGTACTTTACTTATCACAGTAAGATCCAAAACATTCTTGACCTTAAATATACTAATGGTAGAGTTCTGTAGCCTCTTGGCCACTAAAGAGAACTTTTCCAGATCTTAACTTGAAAAACAGGGCGGAACAGAAGGATTCATGTGTCTTCCAGAAACCATGAATAAGTGTTTAAAGATGCTCAATGTATTAAATATTATATAACGTATCGAGCTATTTCAGTAACAGGCATATTAAGTAAATATTGTCAAAATAATCTCCAGGTACTTTGGAGCTATTCAGGCTCAAATAACACCTGTAAATGTAGGTTAATCTAAATAAGTTCATCATAAACCCCAGCCAAGGAGGAGAGCAAAACCTGGCAAGAAATGAGGCGACAACAGCAGGAAAAGCACCAAGCGGAGCAATCCCAAACAGAGAAGATGCCCTCCTGGATTCCTAGCAGGTCTTCTCCCTTCGCGTCTTGTAAGACCATCAAGGCAGGAACTGAAACTACTGGTGCTTCAGGTGCAACGGCGCTTTAAAACGTTTTTCAAATACTACCAGTCATAGTGTGCCTGCATGAGAGGAAAATCAGAGCTACTCTTGGAAGAATAACTTATACTAAGAAAGTGGAAAAAAAAGAATAAAAATAAAAAAAAAACTGTCATCTTTCTCAAGTAGTCTTTTGGGACTGGCCAAACCGCTTTTTAAAGTGACAAAAAACGCTACCACGAATGAGGCTCCATGCAAGTTGTGTTTCTCGAAAATGGGAAAAACAGAAGTGGGAGAAACGATGAAATTCCACCCGCCGCTCCGCACGGCACAACGCTTAGCGGCTCCGGGAGCCTTGCAGGATCCCTGGGCTAATCTGCTATTATTCTTCCTTTCACACTTCTTAAGCAAGGAATCAATTCATCTTAATACTTTTTAAACATGCTGCTTTTGCACTGCGCTTGCCAACATTATCTTGATGAGTTATACATCAAAGCAACGCAGGTCGATAAGTCGTGCTAATATATCACCCAACAGCGAGTCCCCAGTGACAGATTACTGCAGTGCATCTCCAGAACGAAGCAGCTGACAGTACTTTACACACACAAAAATGAAGATATTCAAGAAAAACAGCTGAGGGGCTCCACAGTATAACCGTGCTTTTTATTTATTTGTTTTAAAACGTGTAAATTTTGAAGACAGTACCCAGGCCGCTTCCATCTCCTGCAGCCGTTGAGCCAAGGAAACCATATGCTAATCACAAGTACATTAAGTTTCTGCCTCCCATCTGTCATTATAATGCTTGAGGCAGCATTAACCTCGACCCCAGGCAATGTAAGGGCTACCTGTCTTCCCTCCCACACCCATCAGGGCTACTTTGGTATCGGTTATCGGCGGGAAATGCATAAATAACCCAAGTTATAGTGACATTGTCATATTGACAATAGAGAACTTGGCTTAGCCCATTTCTTTTCCATTCACTCAAGTGAAAATGATCATCTCTGGGTTCCTCAAGCAGTTTTGAGGGCTTATCACAAAAATAAACTCAGCTCGCCCAGGTTCAGTCCCAAGCAGTAGGATTTTTTTTTTTTTTACATATCTAGCTTGCATTACTACCTAACAGATAAAAGGTAAAACTCCTCAATGTCAAGCTAAATTGAGGTACCTTTCATAATGCTACTAGGGGGTTAATTTAATCTCATGCCGTTTTCTGCTGTGCTCACAAGAAACACCGAGTGTGCTTTATTTTAACTCAACCAACTCCATTAAAATATTTTTACCTTATAAATATGCAAAATCTTCTTATAGTCACATATTAATTTGAAAGTGACAATACGGTTAAAACACAAATGGAAAAGGACGAATCCCGTTCATATTTTAAAAGGTGAGAGCAACGCACAAGGACCACTATCCGCTCCTAGGAGCGCGTTCCCATTTTAGGATTCTCTCCCTTTGGTGCCATCGGTTCTCTGAACATTTTCCTGGGAAATTGAATCCACGTGGCGTTAGACATTGGGTGTCTTTATTTTCGGCCCTGTCTGGGTTTATACATGACATGAACCAGGGGAGCACGTTCCGGTTGCTCTTCTCCCTGCTCACGTCATTCCAGGAACCCTGGAACATTCCTTCCTAAGGATGCAACTAAATCATGTCCTAGAAACGCTCCATGGGCAGCCCCTTGGGCGACCCTGCTGCTCCGGGCTGCCCTGAGGGCCTTTCCCTGCGTCCCCCCTGGGCCCAGCTCATCCCGCTGCCAGAGCACGCTTGGCCTTGGCCAAAACCTTGACATTTTGCCCAAGTTTCCCTGCTACCTCCTCTTCAGGATCTTGTTACTCCGACCATTAACACATCCAATGCTCCCATTCTCCTGCTCAGGGGTGGAGGGAAAGGCTGGAAGTGGAATCCTGCAGACATATAGACAAGCACCAAGATGCCATTTCTGTCTTAAAGAAAGAAACGTGGCACCACAAAAAAAAAAAAACAAACAGAAAAACCCTACAACCTCCAACTTAATTGTCCACATTCTTCTGCATTTACAACAACCTTTCAGAAAACCAGCGCTGGCAGCTCGCACGCCACACGCGTATCCGCACGCATCCTTTCCAACAAAACGAAGCCTCGCTTTGCTCTTCAAAATAAAGTTACCTATTTATTAACTTAAAAACAAAGTTTCCTATTACAGCTGCAAACTCCAAACTGTGACTTACATGTTAGATCTGCCACAATGTGTGAAAACCTTCACCCTATGTTCTGC